TTACAGTTTAAGCACTGTCTGAGAATGTAATGGCTCTAGCTCTTAGCAAGCCAATTTCTTTCTAAAATCAGAGCAGTCAATATTTGTATAATATGAAAACTTCTTTATGAATGTTGAAATTGGTGGAATAGGAGTATCAATTGTACTTAGGGGTTGCCACGTCCAATTACAGTGTTTCAAATTTTTTTTTAAAACTTCAGTTGTTAAGTTACATAATGTGAAAAGTGGCAATGTTGTTTGTTTCTTTAAACTGTCAGGTCATTAAGATAAAAACATAATATGGACATTGCACACAAGACTGGTCTAATAATAAAAACAAACCAATTGCTAAAATTTCATGTGCATAGTTTTAATGTAATTTAAACTTGGAAGAGTGCTGGATTGACAGGCCTGAAGACCAGTATCTTCCAGTGCTGACTTCCCATAGTGCCTTAGTTATATCTTGAAGGGTCTGCTCATTGCATGTTTGGCTTCTCTGACACAGCCAGCAGTTGTGCCAGTTATATTGGTTTCTTTTTGTGATTTAGATGCATCACTTCTCCTATAATTGAGTACAACTAAGACCACCTCCTCATTCCATATATGCCACGAAACAGTCATCAGATATTAAATGTTTGATCATAAATTGGTGATCTAAAGGTGGGAGGTTCCGAATTCTATTATCAATCCTTTGAGCCATCCAGTGACCCCTTCATCTTACTGATATGGCAAGCTTCAAAATGTAAAGGGAGAAGTCCCACCCATTTCACATGCACAGATGTAACTTCAGTTTTCATGAAGTTTGCAGTTCATAGATGCAGTTTTTCTCCTTGATGTGTTCAAATGATTTAGAGCAGTGACACTTAGACTCAGATTTGGGAGCCTCAAATAGCTTTTTAATGTGTCTTCTGTGGCTCTTTGCAACACCTGATATTAAAATATATAATTATTAACCAATAAGGATGCTTTTATTCTGTTATTAGCAAATTAACTTAGCAGCTGCAATAATATTAACGTATTTGCTGTGAGAATAATACATATTGCTATTTTATATAAAATGTGTGTGTGTTTCCCCTGTTATACTGTTTAAATATGATTATAGCCAGCTACTATGTTCTTTTGGGTCTTGTTGATCACTAATTTGTCTCTTGAACTACTGAAGTCTAAGCATCAGCCATGTCTACACTAGTTTATGTTGGCAAAACTTATGTTGCTCATAGGTATGACATCCCCCCTGCTGAGTAACACATATTTTGCTGGCATAAGTGCTTGTGTGAACAGCGCTATGTCAGTGAGAGATGCTCTCCCATCGACATAAATATTGCCGCTCATTTAGGTGAGTGTTATGCTGATGGGAGAGCTCTTTCCTGTTGATGTGGCATGGCTATAGGCGCCATCTTATAGCAGTATTGGTGCAGCTTTGCTGCTGTAAGCTTGTGAGTATAGACATGCAGTAACTGACACAAGACAAGCTTTTTCAAGAGACAATGTTTAATTGAATCAGAGTTATAGTATAGGTGTTTTGTTTGCAAAATACTGGCTTTTGCCTAGTCCAGTTGTAATGCAATTTACAAAAATGTAACTGAGGGGAGATAACTACCTTCATGGTATTTGGTTTAAGTATTTTACCCATAACTGAAAAAAGGCTCTTAGGACTTTCTCTGACTAGACTGTGTTATAGTTTGCCTTTCAAATTCTTCTACTGGTATATTTTCAGACAGCTCCTATTAGACTGAGAGTGCTTCTTTATGCATCCAGAGGGTTCTCAATATCCATGATAAAAGAAGTAGCACATTACCTTTGAGCATATTTTTCAGCATAGAAAATTAAAACATGTATTTTGGATGTTGAAGATTTTAAATATACCGTATATTCCGGCGTACAAGACGACCTCTGAAGTTAAAAAACATCCCCCAAAAATCAGGGGTCGTCTTGTACGCCGGATGCCCCGCCGCCGGAGCCCCTCCGCGGCTTTGAAAGCCTCGGGGGAAGCCGGCAGGGGGGCATCCCAGGCGCGCATGGGCTGCCCCCCCCGCCGGAGCCCCTCTGCGGCTTTGAAAGCCTCGGGGGAAGCCGGCGGTGGGGCATCCCAGGCGCGCATGGGCTGCCCCCCCCGCCGGAGCCCCTCCGCGGCTTTGAAAGCCTCGGGGGAAGCCGGCGGCCGGGGGGGGGCGGGGGGGGGGGGGGGGCGGC